AGAATGGAGCGAAACAGAGTGACTTCAAGAGTGTATCAGTCTGTAGTGGAAGGAAGGCGGGGTAGGGGTCAGCCTAGGAAAGGTTTGGAGACTTATCAGGGGTTTAATGGAGAGAGTTCGTGGTCATGCGAGGCGGCTTGGACACTTCAGGCAGGATGCGACCACAGTTCGATAACGCAATGGACAATTTTTTATACTGATGGGCTAGTTAAGGTGGAAGAAACGTAATTTTATGCTGGTATCGGAAACCGGCACCGGGACAGACGTTCCAAGTCCCTGAGAGGGAAGTAAGGAGTGCAGGGGTTGCACTCTGCAGGATGGGAGCTGTTTGATTGCAGTTGGCATAAATAACTTTGGGGGAGTGTAAAGGGACCCTTTCTTGGGACAAGACAGTGGAATGTGAAGACTCTGGATGATGGAGTGATGGTGAAAGTTTTTCTTTTTTGGACCACCCTGCCTTGGTGGGAATCGGCCAGTGTGATAATAATAATAATAATAATTGTTATAATAAGGTTAGGTAAGTTTTCTAATGTTCTTTTGGTACAAAATTATTAATTTTTACATTAACATAAATGAAAAAAATATAGCACTCCCTACTACCCTTATTAACTCTACATCTTGAACACTCATACAACACACTGCTCTCTGACCTTTGCATATTCCTTCTCTAGCACAATCAACCCTGCAGTGCTGTATGACCCTTTTAGGTTTAACACTTAGTTTGATTTTATTATTTTTATTATTCCCTTGAATATAATTTCAAATGTTTATGTTCAATGTCATATTAATTACACAATTATTAGTTAACAAAATAATTATTATTAACATGTGATTTATCTGTAAGATCTTTACAGATAAACTTAAATATATATCATGACTGAAAACTTCTTTACTTTTTTAAAACTTAAAAATGTAAGTGATGCTTTTATTTAGTGAATTTTATTTAGTAAAACATATACAGTGGACCCCCACCTTATGATATTAATCCGTTCATGAGAGCTCATCGTACGACGAAATTATCGTATGGCGAATTAATTTTCCCCTTAAGAAATAATGGAAATCAAATTAATCCGTGCAAGACACCACAAAGTATGAAAAAAAAAATTACCACATGAAATATTAATTTTAATACACACAAAGTTAAGAAGGAAGACATGCACAAATAATACTCTACTAAGAATACAATACATGACACTTACCTTTATTGAAGATCTGGTGATGATTGATGGGATGGGACGAGGGGAGTGTGGAAGTTGTTATTGTTTAGAAGGGGAATCCCCTTCCATTAGGACTTTTCCAAGGTTACTTCCCTTCTTCTTTTAATGCCACTAGGACCAGCTTGAGAGTCACTGGACCTCTGTCGCACAACATTCTGTCCGTAGAGGTCTGTACCTCTCGTTCCTTTCAGACTTTCCTAAAATGGGCTATAACATTATCATTGTAATAGTCACCAGCACAGCTTGCAGTAGCTGTGCCAGGGTGATTTTCATCTGCAAAGGTTTGCAGTTCAACCCACCATGCACACATTTCCTTAACTTTGAAGTAGGCAACTTCCTCAATTTCTCTCTGTCCGGGGCCCAAAACTGCTCAACAGCCTCCCATCAAGCATTAGGGGAATTGCCAATAAACCCCTGGCTGCCTTCAAGAGAGAGCTGGACAGATACCTAAAGTCAGTGCCGGATCAGCCGGGCTGTGGCTCGTACGTTGGACTGCGTGTGGCCAGCAGTAACAGCCTAGTTGATCAGGCCCTGATCCATCGGGAGGCCTGGTCGTGGACCGGGCCGCGGGGGCGTTGATCCCCGGAATAACCTCCAGGTAACCTCCTCTGAAGCAGTTTCCTCAGGTCTGGCCTCTTGCTGTTGAAGATGATCTTGCAGCTCTTCAGTGGTTAGTTCTTCATTGTCCTCCTCCACCAACTCTTCCACATCCTCTCCACTAACCTCCCAATGGATTTCACAACTGGCATAGGCTTCTCAAGGTTAGCCCCAAACCCTTCAAAATCCCTTTCTTCTACACATTGTGGCCACAGTTTCTTCCAAGCAGAGATCAAGGTCCTCTTAGTCACTCCCTCCCAAGCCTTACCTATAAGGTTTACACAGTTGAGGATGCTAAAGTGATCTTTCCAAAACTCTCTTAGTGTCAATCGAGTGTCTAAGGTCATTCAAAGCACTTTTGAAACTTAGCTTTTGTGTTGAGTTTTTTGAAGTTTGAAATGACCTGCTGGTCCATGGGTTGCAAGAGAGGAGTGGTATTAGGAGGCAAAAACTTGACCTTAATGAAGCTCATGTCCCTAGAAAGTCGCTCTGCCAAGTCTGAAGGATGACCAGGAGCATTATATAATACCAGGAGGCACTTAAGGTCGAATTTCTTATCCATTAGGTAATTTTTCACAGTGGGGGTAAGTGCATGGTGTAACCAGTCATAGAAAAGGTCCCTAGTGACCCATGCCTTTTTGTTTGCCCTCCACAGTACACATAAATCAGCCTTGACGACATTGTTTTGCCTGAACGCTCTGGGAGTTTCAGAGTGATACACCAATAAAGGCTTCACTTTGCAATCACCACTAGCATTAGCACACATCAGAAGAGTAAACCTGTCTTTCATAGGCTTATGTCCTGGGAGTGCCTTTTCACATATGTAGGTCCTGCTTGGCATTTTCTTCCAAAACAGGCCTGCTTCATTACAATTAAACACTTGTTCAGGTTTCAGTTCTTCACTGTCTATGTAATCCTTGAATTCCTTCACATATTTTTCAGCAGCTTTTTCGTCCAAGCTGGCAGCCTCACCATGCCTTATCACACTATGTATGCCACTACGATTCTTAAATCTCTCAAACCAACCTTTACTGGCCTTAAATTCACTCACATCACCACTAGTTGCAGGCATTTTTCTAATTATTTCGTCATGCAACTTCCTAGCCTTTTCACATATGATTGCTTGAGAGATGCTATCTCCTGCTATCTGTTTTTCGTTTATCCACACCAGTAACAGTCTTTCAACATCTTCGAGTACTTGTGATCTCTGTTTCGAAAACAAAGTTGCACCTTTTGCAAGAACAGCTTCCTTGATTGCCGTTTTGTTGGCCACGACAGTAGCGATGGTTGATTGGGGTTTGGTATACAACCTGGCCAACTCCGAGACACACACTCCACTTTCGTACATAGCAATTATCTCTGTCTTCATTTCCATGGTAATTTTCACCCTTTTTCCCACAGTGTTGGCACTAGAAGCTTTCTTAGGGCCCATGGTGACTTATTTTGCAGGTACAATCACTAAAAACGCTGTGATAATATGAAATGTACCGAATGTATGCGTGGATGCGACCGCACTGGCTGGCTTGTAAACAATGGCACGCACGGGGCAGCCTCAGGGTGAGACATGTCCCAGAGGAATCGTGTGAGGTGAGTTTTTTAGCGTGAGGCGAGGCAAAATTTTTGTGTTAAAATATATCGTATGGCGGATTTAACGTAACGCGATGCCATCGTAAGGCGGGATCCACTGTACAGTGGAACCTCAAATTTTGAACGTATCGCTTATTGAACTCTTCGAAAATCGACCACTTTTTTTTAACCAACTTTGTCCCTATTGTAATAAAGCTCTCCAGAGCTTTGTCAAGCTCCTGGAGAGCGAAACGTTTCCACAATAAAATGTCACATTAGTTGCACTTGTGTCCTTTTACTTTACATATTGTCGGTAATTCTACCAACTTTATTACAATAGGGACAAAGTTGGTTCGATAAAATGTCACATTAGTTGCACTTGTGTCCTTTTACTTTACATTTTGTCCCTATTATCAAACTCGCCCCTGTTTTCGAACCACCAGGTACTGGACCTGTCTGGCAACCCACTCTGTCCGTGTCCCCGCGCAGGCGCCATGAGCCAGTCTGGTTTTGTTCATGCTTGAGTGAACACTAACCTGCACTCTCATTCAAACATTTTATGATTATTTCATTGTGTTTAGTGCTTGTGGGACTGTGAAATAAGCTACCATGGGCCCAAAGAAACTTGCTAGTGGTACCCCTGTGGTAAAGAAAGTGAGAAACACCATAGATGTGCAAAAGGAAATAATACAGAAGTATGAGAGTTGTGTAAAACTTGTTGAGCTTGCCAGGATGTATGGAAAAAACAAGTTGACCATCGGTTCTATCCTGGCAAAGAAAGAACAAATCAATGAAGCTGATGTTGCAAAAGGTGTTAATGTGCTAACCAAAAAAAGACTACAGACAATCGATCAGGTTGAGAAGTTGTTGCTGATGTTGATCAAGGATAAAGAGATGGCAGGTGATAGTGTTTCAGATACGATTATTTGTGAAAAGGCAAGGAAGTTGCACGCTGATTCAAAGATTAAGGAGATTTGCGCCAAGTGGAATGATGTCCAAATGTTTGTGGAGAAGTACCACCCTGAGCAAGCTGAAACAAGCCATCTTTGCAACAAGTTCAGTGACAGAACCATGTCCCAGTATAGGGAAATCTTAGAGATGCCAGAAACAGAGGACTGTGGACAGTTATTTTGTGAGACAAGGGTCCTGTGACTCTCAAGCTGGTCCTAGTGGCATTAAAAGACAGAGAAGGGAAGTAACTCCAGAGAGGGCTTTGATACCTAAAGTCCTTATGGAGGGGGATTCCCCTTCCAAACACTAACCCCAACTCCCTCTCTCCTCCTCCCTATCTTCCAGATGCCATCACCAATCTTCAATAAAGGTAAGTAAAAATGTGTTTAAATTTATTAATACATAATTGAACACTATATTTGTTGTGTGTTTGTAAAACTATAGTTAATCACAATAAAATGTATTTTTTTTTTGTGAATACTTTTGGGTTTCTTGAACGGATTAATTGTATTTCCATTATTTCTTATGGAAAATATTGCTTCACTTTTCAGACTTTTTGAACTTAGAACTTGCTCCTGGAATGGATTAAGTTCGATATTTGAGGTTCCACTGTAATACAGACAACTTTGTTGTTTTCTAGTTCAGTATATTGTATTGGTATTGGTAGAATATTGTACTATACTGACTCATGTTTCTATTGCAGAAGTATATTGTGAAACACTACCAGGTTATACCTTCCCAGACACTATCATCACTACTGCAAGAAACATCTGTGTCTTGAACAACTACTGATATTGCAGAAGTATATTGTGGAAGACTACCAGGTTGTATCTAAACAGACATTATAACACTTGTGACTCTTATGAATTTTTAACTGGCCAGGTATTACTACCTAAAAAAAATTGTTTTCATTTGAAATATATCTAAAAATTGCATGGCAGTTCATAGAAAAATACAAGTTATTAATACTGTAGTTAGGAATTTTTAGAAAAAAAAAAATTGTTTAAACTTAAAATAAATAATAAAACTGTTCTTCAGTATTCTAATACATATGTTAGTCTTTTAAGCACCAAAAATTCATGGCAGTCTTTTAAGACACTCAAAATAAACATTATTAATTTTCATAATTAGAAATAATTTTGCCTAAAAAAATTGTAAACTGTTAGTATATTCATGAGGAAAACTGTGTCTTCAGTGTCCAAAACAGTTTACCAAAAAAAGAAATCTTCAAATATGCATGAAAGCACATAAGAGAAATTAATGATACAGCTGTTGAATGATAAAATATTTTTAAAATATTTAAAAAAATATGAAAAAACATAAAGAAAATAAACCATATCAGTGTTCAGAGTGTGTGAAATGTTTTAGTTTAAAAAGCAGTCTTGTAAAACATATGCGATTACACACAGGAGATAAAACATTTCAGTGTTCAGAGTGTGTGAAATGTTTTAGCCAAAAAGGTCATCTTGTGACACACATGCAAATACATACAGGAGATAAACCATATCAGTGTTCAGAGTGTCTGAAATGTTTTGGTGTAAAAAGCAGTCTTGTGAGACATATGCGAGTACATACAGGAGATAAACCATTTCAATGTTCAGAGTGTGTGAAATGTTTTACTGATAAAGGCAGTCTTGAGAAACATACTAGAGTACATACAGGATATAAACCATATAAATGTTTGGAGTGCCTGAAATGTTTTACTGAAGAACGCAGTCTTGTAAAACATATGCGAGTACATACAGGAGATAAACCATTTCAGTGTTCAGAGTGTCTGAAATGTTTCACTCAAAAATGCAGTCTTGTGAAACATACTAGAGTACATACAGGATATAAACCATATCAGTGCTCAGAGTGTCTGAAATGTTTTAGTGACAAAAGTTGTCTTGTGACACATGTGCGAGTGCACACAGGAGATAAACCATTTCAGTGTTCAGAGTGCCTGAAATGTTTTAGTCAAAAAGGCAGTCTTGTGGCACATATGCGAATACATACAGGAGACAAACCATTTCAGTGTTCAGAGTGTTTGAAATGTTTCAGTGTAAGTAGCTATCTTGTGACACATATGCGAATACACACAGGATGTAAACCATATCAGTGTTCAGAGTGTCTGAAATGTTTTAATGTAAAAGGTTATCTCTTGACACACATGCAAATACACACAGGAGATAAACCATTTCATTGTTCAGAATGCCTGAAATGTTTTACTGAAAAAGGTAGTCTTGTGAAGCATATGCGAGTACATACAGGAGATAAACCATTTCAGTGTTCAGAGTGTTTGAAATGTTTTAGTCAAAAAGGCAGTCTTATAGCACATAAGCAAATACATACAGGGGATAAACCATTTCACTGTTCAGAGTGTCTGAAATGTTTTAGCCGTAAAGGCAGTCTTGTGAGACACCTTTTAATACACACAGGAGATAAACCATTTCAGTGTTCAGAGTGTCTCACATGTTTTAGCCATAAAGGCAGTCTTGTGAGACATATGCAACTACACACAGGAAATAAACCATTTAAGTGTTCACAGTGTCTGAAATGTTTTAGTCTAAAAGGCAGTCTTGTGACACATATGCGAGTACATTCAGGAGATAAAACATGTTAGTGTTTAATGTATCGGGAATATTTTAATTATAACACAAGAGAATATATACAAGGGATATACAATAGCTTTTGTTCTTCTTTATTTCCTCTATTGTCCATGGGGAAGTGGAAAAGAATCTTTCCTCCGTAAGCCATGCGTGTCGTGTGAAGTGATTAAAATGCCAGCAGCAGTGGGCTGGTGACCCCTTCTCCTGTATACGTTTACTAAAAAAAGGGAAAAAAGAAAAAAATTTATAAAACTGGGATGCTTGAATGTGAATAGATGTAGTGTGGATGATAAGAAAGAAATGATTGCTGATGTTATGAATGAAAAGAAGTCAGAGTTTCTGGCCCTAAGCAAAATGAAGCTGAAGGGGTTAGGTGAGTTTCAGTGGGGAGAAATAAATGGGATTAAGTCAGGAGTATCTGAGAGAGTTAGAGCTAAGGAAGGGGTAGGAATAATGTTGATGAGTCAGTTATGGAAGGAGAAGAGGGAATATAAATGTGTAAATTCAAGGATTATGTAGATTAAAATAAGGGTCAGATGCGAAAAGTGGGTCATAATAAGCGTGTATGCACCTGGAAAAGAGAGGAGTGTAGAGGAGACAGAGATTTTGGGAGATGTTAAGCGAATGTATAGGAACCTTTGAACGAAGTGAGAGAGTAATTGTGGTAGGGGACCTAAATGCTAAAGTAGGAGAAACATTTAGAGAGGGTGTAGTATGTAAGTTTGGGGTGCCAGGTGTAAATGATAATGGGAGTCCTCTGATTGAACTTTGTATAGAAAGGGGTTTAGTTATAGGTAATATATATTTTAAGAAAAAGAGGATAAATAAGTATACAAGATATGATGTAGAGCATAATGACAGCAGTTTGTTGGATTATGTATCGGTAAATAAAAGACTGTTGAGTAGACTTCAGGTGTACATAGTTTATAGAGGGGCCACATATATATCAGATCACTTTTTAGTTGTAGCTGCAGTGTGAATAAAAGGTAGATGGGATATAAGGAAAATAGAAGCAGCAAGTAAGACAAAGGTGAAGGTGTATAAACTAAAAGAGGAGGCAGTTAGGGTAAGATATAAATGACTATTGGAGGATATATGGGCTAGTGAGAGTATAGGCATTGGGGTCGAAGATGTATGGGGAAGGTTTAAGAATGTAGTGTTAGAGTAAACTATACCATGGGCAGAATTTGAATCCACGGTCAGAGTCTCTCTGAGAGTCTCTAGTTTTGAGACTCTTTGACCATGGGTTCAAACCCCACCCATAGTATGGTTTGTTTACAATTGTGTCATGATTTCGTGAGTCGAGTAGTGTTAGAGTGTTCAGCAGAAGTTTGTGGTTACAGGAAAGTGGGTATGGGAGGGGAGAAGAGGGATTGGTGGAATGATGATGTAAAGAGAGTAGTAAGGGAGAAAAAGTTAGCATATGAGAGGTTTTTACAAAGTAGAAGTGATGCAAGGAGGGAAGAGTACATGGAGAGAAAAAGAGAGGTTAAGAGAGTGGTGAAGCAGTGTAAAAAGAGAGCAAATGAGAGAATGGGTGTGATATCAACAAATTTTGTTGAAAATAAGAAAAGTTTTGAAGTAAGATTAATAAGTTGAGAAAGCCTAATGAAAGAATGGATTTGTTAGTTAAAAACAGGAGAGGAGAGTTATTAAATGGAGAGTTAGAGGTATCGGGAAGATGTAGGGAAGATTTTGAGGAATTGTTAACCCTAAACTGTCCAAGCGTAGATCGGCATTCACCTGCGTGGCGTCCGAATATTTTGAAAAATAAAAAATCTTTTTTTTTTTTTTTTAAGTACCCTGGAAAACAACTCATCAGGTCCTGGGTACTTGATTTGTTTCAGTTTATCTATCTGATATCCATATCCGTCATGACAGTAATGCAGTGGAACACACACAAATAACCCGCACATAGAAGACAGGAGCTTACGACGACGTTTCGGTCCGACTTGGACCACTTTGTAAATGGTTCAAGTCAGACCGAAACGTCGTCATAAGCTCCTCTCTTCTATGTGCGGGTTATTTGTGTATTGTTCCAGTCATGGTAGTGTGCCTTTTTTGTTATTAATACAGTGGAACCTCAGTACTCAAACAGCTCCCTACTCGAACAAAGCTCAGCACTCGACCAAACAAACATGACCTGCCAGAACTTTGCTGTAAACTATTTTGCATTTCTTTGCATTTTTGGGTGTTTTTTTATATTGTATAAATTACCTTGGGGTCCTATGAAGATTAGTGATAGCATCCAACCAAAAAGAAAATTGGTTAGGAAGAATTCATTCAATACTCGAACAGATCGGCACTTAAACAACCTTCTGGAATTAATTAAGTTCAAGTACCGAGGTTCCACTGGATTACTTAATTTGTATTCTTCAGGAACAGAATAATTGTTAATTGCTGGAATCTCACTTACGTCTTCATGTGTAAAGACTGACAAAAAATAATCATTACATAGATAACACATTTCCAGTTCATTATCAGTCAGCTGCCCATCCCCAATTCTAAGCAGTCCTACTTTTTCCCTGATTTTTGTCCTATGCACTTGAAAGAACCCTTTCAGATTAGTCTTTGATTCATTAGCGACCTTAATTTCATAATCGTGCTTAACCTTTCAAATCCTCCTTTTTACTTCTCTTTTAAAATGAACATATTGGTCAATAAAACTAACCTCTCCTCTTTTGATTTGCCTATAAATTTTCCTTTTCACTGCCTCACATTAGCATTAATATTAAATAATGTTTAATTAAGAAGAAAAACACTTATCCTGTCTAGACTTAAGTAGTTTTTAAGTATAAGTATTAGTCTGCCCAAAATGCTCTGGCATGATAGTGGCTTTTTTTTTTTTTTCTATTAGCACACTGGCCGATTCCCACCAAGGCAGGGTGGCCCGAAAAAAAAAAACTTTCACCATCATTCACTCCATCACTGTCTTGCCAGAAGGGTGCTTTACACTACAGTTTTTAAACTGCAACATTAACACCCCTCCTTCAGAGTGCAGGCACTGTACATCCCATCTCCAGGACTCAAGTCTGGCCTGCCGGTTTCCTTGAATCCCTTCATAAATGTTACTTTGCTCACACTCCAACAGCACATCAAGTATTAAAAACCATTTGTCTCTATTCACTCCTATCAAACACGCTCACGCATGCCCGCTGAAAGTCCAAGCCCCTTGCACACAAAACCTCCTTTACCCCCTCCCTCCAACCTTTCCTAGGCCGACCCCTACCCCGCCTTAGTTCCACTACAGACTGATACACTCTTGAAGTCATTCTGTTTCGCTCCATTCTCTCTACGTGTTCGAACCACCTCAACAACCCTTCCTCAGCTCTCTGGACAACAGTTTTGGCAATCCCGCATCTCCTCTTAACTTCCCAACTACGAATTCTCTGCATTATATTCACACCACATATTGCCCTCAGACATGACATCTCCACTGCCTCCAGCCTTCTCCTCGCTGCAACATTCATCACCCATACTTCACACCCATATAAGAGCATTGGTAAAACTATACTCTCATACATTCCCCTCTTTGTCTCCAAGGACAAAGTTCTTTGTCTCCACAGACTCCTAAGTGCACCGCTCACCCTTTTCCCCTCATCAGTTCTATGATTCACCTCATCTTTCATAGACCCATCCGCTGACACGTCCACTCCCAAATATCTGAATACATTCACCTCCTCCATATTCTCTCCCTCCAATCTGATATCTAATCTTTCATCACCTAATCTTTTTGTTATCCTCATAATCTTACTCTTTCCTGTATTCACTTTTAATTTTCTTCTTTTACATACCCTACCAAATTCATCCACCAACCTTTGCAACTTCTTTTAATTGTAATTGCACATTGTAACCTTTGCAAATAATTAAAATGTTTATCTTTGTTATTCAGAAAATGGAATTACCTGGGGGCTAAAGCCTTGTCTAAGGGCAAAGGTAAAAGTTACACAAGTCTCAGGCAGAAACAGGCCACCCAGGGCTATCCCAGTCAAAACAGTAAGCGCTAACCAACCAGTATATATTACTTCAATGGGTTGGTTATCAGAAGGGGTAGGCAAAACTCCTAGCTACGAAAATAAATATTTATTAGTTAAAATATATTATACGCACTCTAGAAAACCACCTTCATATATCTTTTCTCCTAAGCTCCCAAATAACGGTACACAAGAAGCAGGCAGCTGGAGAGTCCAGCAAATCATAAACACTTAACCCAGCAATGCCAGGTCTTCCCTACTCCACTAAACCCCATTACCTCTTATGTCCTCAGTCCTCACTCATCCTGCAGTCCCTGACCATATCAGAGCCTAGGTGAGCATACAGGTAAACTATAAAAGAGCTTATGGCTTGAGATGCATAACCAAATGAGTACAAAACTTACCTTAAATACACTGCATCTCAGACGCCAGCCTTTACTCCATGCTCCCTCCACATGGCTACCTGCTAACTAAACACTTGGAAAATAAATCCCTGACAGGATTTCCTTACATTTACAGTTTAAAGTGCTTTACAGTACCCCTAAATGCACAGTATGAATTATAAAATTATGGGTGACATTTATCCATAGTTCATGCATTATGATTTACAATTATGTCATAGTTCATTAAAATCATGGCACGCTTCTCCACTATATATACATTACAATGTCATGCAGAACGCTGCATGACACCCAAACCCCCATACCATGGGTCTCACTCTGCTAGCGGGATCCACGAGGGCACCGCTAGGCAAAAGGAAAAAGAAAATTAATCCTACACTAAGGACTGAGGCAACAGGCAAAATAACTGGGGAATGACCACCATACAATCCCAGTCTTTTGGTACTACAAATATACAATATTAACAAACTGAGGTTACTAAACTGTGGACATGTGAAACTCGCCGAACATAAAAGTGATCAAGTTCTATGCCAAATGAGCCCACAGTCATGCTCTTAGACAACTGTGTTAGGAAAAGGCACCATCGCAACACAGCACTTGCCAGGCACTGGCATTGATCCATTTTACCTAAAGTACGTCAAACAACCTTATAAACTACCAAGTTAACTTTGTATATAAATGCCCCTGAGGAATGCCATTTTGTGAGGTAACA